CTATGCATCACTGAGATCCAAGTACCGTGTAGGTCTTCAGCTATATGAACGTAACTGTTTTTCTTACCATAACTCTTAAACTTTTAGCTTTAAAAATTTGCTCCTAACTTTATTATTTTTTTATATAGAAACTACTTTGTACATGAGAGTCTTTGAAAGTGTGGTGCTTCCCTTCATTAAGGAAGCATGCCTAGGGGTGTTAAAAGATGGTTAGTGTTTTGATTTGCACTGAATCTCGTGCTGACTTTGGCCATTGGTTTGTCCCACCCTCATGTGCGCTGTGTATTGTAAAAATCATGAATGATAGCTAAGGGTCTCTTCTGTGGCAGGGAAACATGTCTTATTTCCTTTGGTTTCAAGAATTAAGTTTTGTGTGCAATGATGGCTCAACATTGTCTTAGACTTAGGAAAGAAATGTTAGCTGAGAGTGGTGACAGTTTAACTCTGTTTAAACGGATGTAGCTAATTTGGAACAAATCATTAACATCAGAAGATTTGTTTCAGTTCTTCAAACTCTTAGTTCTAGCTTAAATTGCAGTGAGAACTACGTCTGCTGCTCTTCCAAAAGATAAAGCTGTATAATTTAGAAGAAGCCTTCATGGTGAGAAATAGTAAAGCTGTGGTCACTGGGGATGAAGGTGGTTTGCAGAGTGGTGGGAGAGGAAGGATTTGAACCTTCTCAGTGATTTCCTACTTTGAATATTCTTCCTGGATGGTTTATGTAAACCCATTTTACATTTCAATCCAGCAGTCTTAAACACATGTGCAGAGTCTTACTTCCTCTTAGGGAATAATTGACAGCTGAAAAGGAGTAACTTCTTAATGGTTTTTTAATGTGATGACAGACACTCATGGGAACACTGTCTTCCACGTGCTCAACAGGAAGGAACACTTTCTCGTTAAGTTTCATGAAGAAATCAAAAAAGTACGAATCTACAGACAAGATGTAGACAGTAGAAACAGTATGTTCTGCTTCAGGTCATATCTTAGGTAGAGAGATGGAAAAATATGATCTGTAGATGAAGGAAACAAAAGATTACATTAGTTGTATAGTTTTCAGGGACAGAGGGAGGAAAACGTCCTCCGGACCAGAATGCATGTCTTTGCTACCACGACTGACTATGTCATGGCGTACAAAAGGTGAAACAAGATAAATGTATTGACACCAGTTTGTCCTTTTTTGAGTCTATTCCTCCGCTACCGTGCTGTGAGCAAGACAAATTTGTCATTTACTGCTAAACTTACTACTTAAAATGTACAGAGGAGGGTATTGTTAAAGGTGAATAATGGGGACTTTGAAATTCTTCATATGAGTTTCTAGTTTTACGTACAGTAGAGGTGGGTAGTTAGATCTTCTGAAAGGAAACCTATTACTGCATTTGCAGAACTCACAGGTTTTAGAGGTATGGTAAAGCTGCTGTATGCTTTTTTTTTTTTTAGCCATATCTACTATTATAATTATCTCTCCTTGCTAACTCTGTTTTAAATCCCTAGGGTGTTATACAACATAATTACCACTGCAGTGTTAAGATAGTGGTAAAGTAGCTGGAATTTTACTTAGATGTTCACTTTGAAAATAAAGCTTTCCTTACTTTTAAATCAGTTGGCTTCCTGTGAGATTGAAGACTCTGTAAAGAATTGTAAATGTGAGGAAGCTAAAGTCTTGCCAATGAACTTGAGAAGTGTGATTTCACGAGATACATGCAAAAGAAGCTTTTGGGCAAGGGAAGACCCACTTGGTAGTGTGTAAGAAATGTTAAATAAATCTAAATAAAAAACTGTTTACTTCAGTTCATCTGGTGGCTTTTTTTAAAAAAAATGATATGTGAATTCAATGCTAAAAAATAAGAAGGTGTGTTTTGAGGATGTTGCCTTCCTACTTTTGCATTACTCAGCTTTTTAAGTAGTTGAAAATATTTCAGAACAGAATAAAACAGGTGCTTGCTAGAGCTTAAGAGAGAGCTGAGCTTTTATCTTTTCTAACATGATGCAGGTGAGGCTTTTGGGACCTTATTCCCTCCTGATAAACTTCAGGGAGGTGCTGAACAGTTCTTTAGATACTCGTATCTGCCTAAAGCGAGTGGCAAAGTTTCAAGATACTCAGGAGGCTAGAAGCTTGAACTGGATGTAATTATGTCATCAAAATTCAATACATTGTATGGAGTCTTGTGGAGACACCAGAGATGTGATTAAATAAGAGGCAGGTGAGGAAATGACTGTTAGTCATAAAAGGGGGAAAAAGTATTCTTGAAGATGTATAAAATGATTCAGCAGAATCTGAAAAATCCCAGGAGGCTTATCAAGCAGATAACTAATTTCAGGAGTTGTGTATTTGGGACAATGCTTGTAGTCAGCTGCACTAATATGTTAGGAAGGAAGATAAGTTGTGTTCTATCCATAGTTAGAAGTGAGAGAGAATGGGTGAACTGGAGATTTGATCTAATTATTTTGTTATTTAAGCAGTAGTCCTTCAGTTTTGCCAAATACCAGATAAATGAAAAGAGTTGCTCCTAGATAATGTGTTACAGAGAAAGGGAGTTTGTAGACCTGATCAGAAGTTAAAGAAAACTGGGAATACTTGTTATTTCATCTTTTCCTTCTGATGTTTCTTCTGAGGTCTTAGGGAAAGTATCTAAGGCAATAAAGAAGATAAAATGCTAAGAAGCAGAAGAAATAGTAGCATTTAAAGAGCCAGTGATACTGCTGAGTTGATGTGACTGACTGTCCCTGTCCTGATGTTTGTCACCTTTACCACTGGCTTGAATGTAGAGAAAATAAAAACCTATACATGCAAAGAAAACTAGATTTCAGGTGTCTGATCCTGTAGCGGAGTAAAGACCTTGAGTCAATAGGTGTCTTCATTCTCTGTAAAGTTTTAGGCATGATAGATAGCTTAGGTTTCACACCAGCCAAAACTGTGGTAGTCCTCAAGTCAGCTTATCATGCTATCTATGTGTGTTCTCAATGTTTGACTTTAAAGTGTCACGAATGTGACATAGAATTGTTTGCAAGAGAAAGATTAAAATAAATGTTCGTTTTCTCCTGTGAAAACTAGGATATCTAATATTAGTGATTATGTTCTGCATGAAAGATATATTTCAAAAGGAAATTTTCAGTACAGCTACTCAGTAGCTGCCAAATAGAAATAAAAATGACCATGCTGCTACTTATGCTTCAGTACTTCTGCAGACTGCCTAGCTTGTTTCAGTGTAGTGTAAATTAATGGAAAATCTGAAGAGAATGAAAAGGAAACAGAGTCTGCCAGAAGATAATAATATTTGTTCACAGAGATGTGCTAAAGAATTTCTTTATATACTGCAGCCAGTATAAATACTGCTTGTAGTTCTGAGGAATTTGTGCTCATTGCCAAAATTATCAATATAGAAGGAGATGAGGATTTTTTCCTCGAGCTATGATTATATGATGATGAAATTTGTGGTTTTCCATTCTAAGCAGGTGTTAACTACCAAATCGGGATATAGTATACCTGATTATGTCTGTTTCCAGTGAAGAAATAACTTGTTCTTGAATATGCGTTTCAGAGATATTTTGTTTCTGACGTTCTCCCTGTCCCACAGCTTTTCAAGTGGTGAAATCTCAGCCGTTAATCATTTGCTAGAGAAGAAACTGATTATGAAACAGAGGTTATATGAATCTCCTGTCTGCTGCTAGAATTTCAAGTTACTTCTTCTTTCTGTGGCTTCCTTTGTTTAGATGAAAACACAAGATTTCTGATTTTGATGTCATGTTAATTCTGAAGGTTTTGAAAGCAGTTGTAACAATTGTAAGGAAAAGACTGGAGTTACTGATACCTGGTTTTACTTTACAGCCTATGCTATCATAAGTCTTAATGTTTAGGGAACAGTCCTGTTTAAATGTTAGTTTTTAGGTTTGAAACTTGTTTAATACATTAATTTTAAACAATTCTGCAGGGATATCAAAATAAACTCATTGAGAACATTTTTTACTAATTGGGATTCCATATGTTTTGAAATGTGGGATTTTTTTTATTCTTACAGCAGCAATTTAGATACCAGTTTAACAGTTTTAGAAATAAAATGTAACCTCTTGTTAAATGTGGTTTTTGGTCAAACAAGAGAAAGCTTTGTGGCCATTCTCAGATTATTATAGTTTAGTGACAGTAACCTAGATTTGAATCAAATTATTCTTTTTTAACTGCCTTGTTTATAACTTCTGAACTACACCTTTCAAGTAAATACTTCAAGATGTGAGTAATACAGGTGTAAATGGTATAAACAGTACTTACTAGTCCACCCTTGACATTCCCTGGTGCTGTTGAGAAGTTTTTCATTACTTTGAAATGAAGTAGCACGACTTGTGGGTGTATGTAGAGATTGCCCAGGATGCCGATACTGCACTTGTCTTAATTTTTTCATTATCTTGCTAGGGGTAGTCAGTAAAACAATATTTATGAGTTTATGGTCACACTGTGTGCTCAGTAGCTGCACCTTTGAGTTATCCTGTTTCTCATTGCTGAAAGATGCACCATTTAATATCCAAATGCTGTAGTTAATCCCATAACTAGCAAAAAGTACTGTAAAGATGCATTTTTCTATTTTTTTTAATGTTAGATAGAGATTTGTAAATTTTGTTTTCCTTTCTGCGTGCTTAATTATAAAAAAATACATAAAAGAACTGTTTTTATACATCCTGTAAGTGTTCTAAAGAGCTGCATGTAATTTTTACTTTAATAACTGAATTCCATAAACAGAATGACTAGGTGGTGAATTTACAGATATGAAAGACATTTAAGTTGGGTGCTGAAATTTTAACAAAAAAGAAAAAAAACCAACCAAAAAAACCCAAACAAAACAGAAAAGATTAAAAAAAAGAGTAGATTTTTTCAGCTACTGTGATGTTCATGAGGAGAAGAAAAAAATGGCATTAAGATTTGGGAAATAATAGAAAGAGAAGACTGTCATGCTAGATCATAATCTGTTGCTGTATCTGATGCCTAATATACGTTTTTCCCCCCACAGAAATTAGCAGAGTACGGAAAGACATGTATAACGACACATTAAATGGTAGTACGGAGAAGAGAAGTGCAGAATTACCAGATGCTGTGGGACCTATTGTACAGTTACAAGAGAAACTATATGTGCCTGTAAAAGAATATCCAGATGTAAGTATATCTTTTTAGTCCCTAAATTATTTTTTGATCCTTGTGGTCGTCTTTAAATGTAAGTTTCATGTGATGCTACCCTTGGATCACACCAGGTTGCTTTGGAAACTTCTTAGGGAATCAGTGTATATTCCACTTGGCTTGATTTGCAGTGAGGGGAAGAACGTTGTGTTAAACAGCAAACTAGTATGGATTACTAAACCATAGATCTGAATTTTCTTTTTCATTCAGTACTGTCTGTCCTGAGACACTGTGTAGTGAATTTTATGAGGAAAGTAGTTCTTGGGAAGCTATTTTTTCCTCTTGGTGTGTCTCTAAAAGTCAGTTGGAGAATGCTTAGAGGCCCATTTAGAGACCTTTTGGAGACAGTACTTAGTCTCAATTACTGTTTGTCCCATACCTGTGTAACCAGTTTTGTTGCATATAGAAGTGTCTTTATCTTAGGCTTGGTTGTCCTGTCTTCCTTCTTTTCCCTGCCCTGCTTAAGCAAAGCTCGTTGCTTGCCTGCCATGTTCTGTTCTCCATTAAGTGTTCAGTTCTATTGTACACTTACCTTCTGAGGGAGAATAGTTTCATTTTAACTAGAAGAATTGTTTTGAGCTTCTCTGGTCTGAATGGTTTCAAACTACTTGGGAAAAACAGTCTTGTTAAAATCTACCCCAACTACCCCAACCATTTTCATTGATCACTGACAAAATAAGAAATTGTGTTATTCTTCTCTAATAGAACTTAAAGGTTCTGTTGCAATGGAGGAGTGCAGGGTTCAAGTAAAGGCATTTGCACACTGATGTGGTATAAAGGGGAAGAAAGTACAGAACAGAAAAAAATGGAAGTAACACTTGAGTATTTCTGTGGCTTTTCTTTGTGTGGTTAATTAAATTAAGCTCTCCAAATTGAGTTTTTATTATTTCAGTGCTGCTTACAACATACAGGCCTCTAAATTAAACCTGATTGTGCTCCATTAAGAAAGTTAAGTGCAAGTCATTATTCAGGACAGAATATTTAGGCAAATGTCTCTTCTCCCTTTTCAGTTTTCACAAAGTTGTTTTGCTTTGGAGTTAAAGTGCCTCTACTGGGAAAAGCATTCAGAGAATTTGTAGTGGCAATAAGGACATCTCTCTCCCGTTCCATTGCATTTTTCTTCCAAATTAAACATGTGTATCTATATACATATATGTACCTGCATACATACCCCCATACTAAAAACATTGATTCTTTTGAAACTCCTTGGAATTACAGATTTTTGAGAGGAACTATGCTATGCAATTCCATAAAGCCATGTAAGTAGCTCTGGACCTCGATACCTGCATATATCTTGGAGTTATATTACTTAGTGACTTTTTAAAGCATTGTTTAGTAATTGAAATCTTGGTTTCATAACTTGCAAAGCACTCTTTGTGAAGAGTTGCCTTAGTTATTTGTTGTAGTTGATGCTTGCTGTACGAGGACCACGAGTAAGAAAAAAGATATTGGATTTCCCATAACTGTTTTTGTTAAACTGCTGTTCTAGAAGTCAGAGGTTTAGTACCTTAGCTCTTCACTGTCAGTTAATTATCAAATATAATGTAAATAAGCAGGAAAGTTACTGTGAAAGCACTTGTGTAACTTCAGGTTACTTCAGCTAGCTCTTTGTGTGCCTTCAGAAGAAAGTCCTTGAGGAGTTCACTAATTTATTTTAATAAACCCTCATACATTCAGAAGTTGGAGAAGCTTGTGATTTGTATACATGTGACCTGGAAAAAAAAGTAGTTGCTTCTTACGAAATCATGTGAAATGTGTGCTAGAAACCATGCAGCTCCTACCACTGGCAGTTCAAGCTTCATTGGGGAGCCAAGCCCAGTGTTCTCTCTGTGCTCCTGCTTGTGTACATGTTGTCTGTATTTGTTTTTAGCTACTTGGAATGGGATCTGTACAGCCTCAGTAATTGGTTAATGAACTAGAATATACCACTACATAAAAAAAAAAAAAAGCTGTGATTTTTGTATGGAGGCCCTTTCTAAGATCTTTCTGCAAGTTAGAAATCAAGTGACCTGCTTTGAATTCAGGCTAACATGGCATTCAGAAGGTCTGGAGTACAGTGATTCTAACTAGTTTAAAAAAAAAACCAACCAAACAACAAACTCACTTTAAAGTATTAATTTCACTTGCGAAGTTAAGTTAGCATGTAAAAATAAAAATTATCACCTATGATAATTTTCACAGTATTATGTGAAACTTCTTACATTTAGCAATTAATTGTTACCAGATATAGGAAAGACATGCTATACAGACTATCAGAGTGATTTTGTCAGGTGAATCTAGTTATTTCTTTCTATTGCTATAGTTTTCTTCCAACTTTTCTACCTTAAAGACATAAAGTTGGATAAACACAAAGTTGCTCAGAGTGACTAGAAACTTTTTTCTTTTGTATATTTAGCGGTATTTTTATTTACAGAAATTAAAATTTCAATGATTATTTTATTTTTTTTAATGTTGTTCTGATAAACTTCTACTCTGGTAAATATTTTTGACATAGGAGTTTGAGCATATTGATTAGTTGACTGTAATGAATAATGAACAGTAGTAGTGCCATTTTGTGCACAGAATCCTCAATTACTTATGAACCATAAAAATAATGGTCTGCCCTAAGTTTAAACAAACATGTTTTATATATGTGTGTATAAACATCCATGTATACATATATGTATAAAAGATGAAACAGTAAATTTTCGTATGCTACATCATGTTTATTTACTGTTTGACTATCCTCTAGTTGCCCACACAGAGTAAAGAATACATAAAATTGAATTTTAAAGCTAAAATAAATATATAAAATCCCCTATAGTCCCTTAATTTATTTTTTTATATGAGTGCATATTGAGTATTTTTATCTTAATATTTATTCAAAGACCATAGGTGATGCAAGTTTCAACTTCCAAAAAAAATTGTCTGAAACAGCCTGTAGTTTTTAAATTCTGACCATTTTAGAGTCTGAATTTCTACTTCTATACTGGTAATTGGAAGGTATGCAAAAGTCTTGCTAAACAAGGGGTAACTTTCTTTGGTATATTGTGTTAATAAGGAGCATTTTTCCATGATGTAATGGCAGTCCCAATTGTGTAACTGTTGGGATGGTCTGCTTTCTGGCACTTTTTTTTTCATTGCAAGCTACAGTTAGGCAGTGGGGTATATTTGTATCATTTTCTTCTAGCACCCTTGAAAGGTGTTTAATTATAGAAATTTTAGTATTAGAATTGAGATTTGAACTACTTAGATTTCCTGAAACTTGAGAGAGAAACTGTGCAAAAGGCACCCAGAAAATGAAATTCCATTACTTGTCCATATTTTGCCCTTCAGTTAAAAATATATTCTCTACAGTGTAATGTTTGTACTGTAGTGTAAGTCTTTGGTGTTACAATTTGAAGACATTTCCAATTCACAGAGAAATAACCTCCATCAGAGTTTAAAAAAGTAAAAAGAAAAGATGTCAGAAAAATTATTGAGCTTTTAAGAAGCAGAAGAATGGAGGATAAGCTATTGTTTGTGGATGAATAGTTAATAGTCTTTAGCATTTCTTATGCTTCAGATAAATGATTAATATTTTTGAATTTCCCTGAAGAGCTGAGACTAAACTTTCTGCCTGATATCAATTTAAACAGTTTTTGGAATTAGTACCTACAAATGTTGAACTGAATAAATGTTTTTTTCTATTATAATCATGGCTTTATTATTAATAAGTACCCTGTTAGCTCTGATTAATGTGAAATTCTCTGTTGGAACTCTTCTGTGCCTCTTCAGTAAAAATGTAAGAACTCAGTAATTATCGCATCTAAAGTAGCATGTCCTTTGAGTATACTGAAGCTCAAAGGCCAGCAGTGATAAACAGCTTGTGCGTACTTTCTGACCATTTTAGTTGAAACTGTTTAATTAGTACAACAGAACGATGAACACGGGGATTCATTTTACTATGGGGAGCTTACTGACAAAACGTTTAAATCCTTTTTCAATTTGGTAATATCAGAGTTTAATAGCATCCCTAATATGGATTAGGAAAACGATAACATCATCTTTATTTATTGTTCTGGTTCTTTTACTTAAGCTTTTCATTCCCCAGTGGTAAACAGGGAAGGAGCTAAAAGACCTGGCCTTGTTTACCCTTGTAATGGGAAGGAAAGAGAGAATATAACTGTTATCTGTAAATAAGCTTGGGCTACAGAATACTGGCACTGCTGAAGGAAGATTTGGGATGGAAGTACAAATGTATAGGAAATAACTAAAGTAGTTTGATCACAAATTTTGTCTGAGTAAGATCATTGGAAAAAATTCTAGTAGAAGTAGCGGGAGCAAAAAATTTAATGTTGAATTTGAACTTTATATATTCATGAGAGGCTTTACATGCTGTGGTTGCACATGGTAAGGGAATGGATTGAGAAAGGGCCCCTTTGTTTAGATGCTGATAAGATGGAGACATGCCTTAATATTTGTATGAAGATTTTTTTACTCTTTCTTTATAACATTTTGTTAGATACCCTTCCATTACTGACTGATTCACCTATTGACAGTGAGTTTTTCTTAAACCCTGCTTCACACTCAATAGCTGTTTGTTTCTTTCTTTCTTTCTTTCTTTTCTTTGGCTTGGTTTTTTGGTGGGTTTTTTTGTTTGTTTGTTTGTTTTTCATAGCTGAAAGATGACAGACATTGTCATAATTTTATTCAGAAATATGCTGGTCAAATCTCCAGAACTTGTACTCAGAGGCAGAAGAATGGAAGACAGTCTAAAATACATTGGAATTAAAAATGCTGTGGTTTAGTCCCTGATAGAAATCTTATAGGCTCAGCTTCGGCAGAGCAGTACCAATTAACTTGGTTCCCCTATCTCCATTATTTCTTCCCTGTTAAACTCTTCAAGAGTTTAGTGCAATTAAGTTAGGTGATTACCTTGTCATTTATCTGTTAATGTTCTTCTTCCCATTTGATTCTTACTTTCAAGTTTTGCTCTTTGCAGATTGTGGTTTTGTGTT